CAGATTGGCAAGAATGATGTGGTTAGTTAGACCAGATTGGAACTTTTGTTCTATTTGGATAGAAGTCTATAGTGACTTTCAGAGTTGGCATTGGAATTCTCTTCCACTAACTTCTTTCCTTATCACCTATTATCTAGCCAGTACCCAAATTTTCTCAAATCTTCCTTGCAGTAGTAGCTCATATTCACTCCCTTTGTACTTTGGTCTAGATCTTTACTTTTTCATAAAAATTCTTCAAGCTCATTTCATTGACTCCTTTTTGTCACAATTTGAAATGCTTTCTTATGGTACCTTAGACCAGTCCAAACCTCCCCAACATAAACATTTCTCTCTACATTGGCTCCTTCTTCTTTGCCATTATAAATATGCAAATCCTTCCCATTTTAAAACAACTTACTTACCCAGTCTCCTCTCATTGAATACCGAAGTATAACCAAAATTTTATGTTTGGTATCATATCTTGCTCATTCTTTACTCAGTAAATATAAGAGATAGTGGCACACTCATGGATGGGATAATATATACCTATTAAAGATTGTTTAAACCTTGACATGGAAAAACTTTGAAGTTCTTTTGAATAAAAAATATTTTTATACTAGATTATTCATAGCATATTTCTATCTTAGATACAAACATGTATATAGCTCTAGAAAATAATGGCTATGGTCAATGCTTGGTGGTCAGACTGGAAGAGTATTTATTTGAATTGTACAGCATAAGTATTTTTGGATGTTTTATAATAAATATGCATTATTTGCACAATAAAAATGGGAAAGTACATAGAAAAATAAAATGAAAACATACCTAGATGTGAAAGTGATTGATATTAGAAAGTTGGATTTTGAATTTTTTTCTGCTTTTGTATACTTCCAATTTTTTTACATTAGTACTAAATAGTATTTGAATTGGGTATAAAAAGTATCTTATAGCATTAAATACTTAGTAATATTTATTTATTTATTTATTTATTTAAATTTTATTTATTTATTTGACAGAGAGAGAGAGAGATCACAAGTAGGCAGAGAGGCAGGCAAGGGTTGGGGGAGCAGGCTCCCTGCTGAGAGAGGACCCAATGCAGGGCTCGATCCCAGGACCCTGAGATCATGACCTGAGCTGAAGGCAGAGGTTTAACCCACTGAGCCACCCAGGTGCCCCAATACTTACTAATATTTAAAAAGAAATTTTCAATTCAGTAAAGTTGACACATGTTATATTAGTTTCAGGTGTACAACATAGTGATTCAACCTTAATAGTATTAAAAAGTATTGACAGCATTAGAGGGTATGAAATTAATGTTTAATTAAGAAATTATATTTGGTTTTTGTGAGTATATGTAATTACATATAATTCCATATAATACGGATAACTACATATAATTCCAATAATATCATTTTTCTATGTAGAAACTTTAGGGCTTGCTTTTTCCTAGTAGCCAAAATTCAAACTTCTAACCCTGGAAGTCAAATTCATAACTTAGGACCTGTAGGTTATTGCCTTTCATTATCCAGTGCTGTACCTTAACAAGATTTCGATGTTCTTACATGGAATTCTCACTTTTGTCTGCTTTACCATTCCCCTAACTCTCCCTGACATCACATTTCTATATATCTACCCTCACCTTTCCTTCAAAGTCCAAGCCAAACCCTCTTCTCTGTGGACCAACTTTGGTATAACTCCAACATGAATCCATTAGCAATTTTTTTTCATTTTTAAGGTTTATTCACTCTTTCCTCTGTAGTACTTTTGCACATACATTAACTCTCCAAGTTAATTTATTGCACATTTTTGGGGGGTGCATGGGGACATAGTTCAACTAATAAAATTAGTTAAACTAGCAAAATCTATCCTCACAGAACATATAATCAGTCATTTATGGAGACAAAAACAGATCTGGGCATGAATTCTGCCTTGGCAACTTGCTGGCTGTGTGTATTTATACAAGGTCCTTAACACCTCCTTGCCTCAATTTCTTATTTGAAAAATCAAGGGAAATGCTAGTTAGAATTGCTGAAGATTCAGTGAGACAATTATATAAAGAACACTGTTAGTTAGAGTGTATATAACATCAACTGCTATAACATCAAATGCAGTCGTTTAGCTAAAAGAATTATTTCCCTACCAGGTATCAATCTTGAGGTAAGCAGCTGGTGGCTGAAGGGGAAGCTCTGACAATTTCAGCATAGGGCTTCCTTGGCCAAGATATTTGCTCCAATTGTTCCAGTTGACAAAGAGAGAGAAAGGGGAAGTGAGATCCAGGTTGCATATACTCCCTTCTCTCCCATTTCACCAGCAAAATTTAGTCCTCTGATTGTTTGGCTGCAAAAGAGTTTGGGTAGTTAAGTCTTAGCTATGTGCTCTACTGAAACTTGGATCCTGTTATTGAAGGTGGAAGGGAAGAATGGGGCCAAACAGCACTCATAACAGAATCATGATTCTGAGCCTCAAAGACTGTAGTCTGAACCCATCTGGGGTGAATTCTCAAAAATAAAGTCCTTGTGAGACTTTCTGATAGATTCCATCTGATCTTCCCAGTGCAACTGTTCTAGATGTGCTACACATACCTTTTCCTTCAAACTACTGAAATTCCTTAATGACAGGCAATCTGTCCACATGTCTTATTTGACTTTTAACTTGTCCCCTCATCTGCTTTACTCTTGCCCTTCAGTTAAACAGAGGAAAATCACAACATAAGGGTATTCTATAAATTTCAGTTGTTAAAATATGGCTCTCAAGAATGGGCAATTGAAGTTCATGAACATCTTACATTTGTATCAAGGTGATGGTAGAAGTTTCTGGCTGGTAAAAAAAAAAGCCTGACTTACCTTTTAGCTAATTTTTTAGTTCTCTGTAATTTGGATGTTCTTTCTGCTTTCACTTTTGGGTAGCTATCAAAAGGGAAGAGAGAAATTTGGATGGCCCCACATCTTTATCATTGGCTCTGTAACTTTCTAGAAGTAGCTTTTTGGAATTATATAATTTACCAGTGACAATGTACAGATGATATTAAATTTCTTTGTATGAAAATATGATATTTTCTGGCAGCTCTGAGGGTCATGTAACACACAATGGTAAACAAAGAAGTATTCTGTGCATTCTTAGATCTTTACATATTTATTTTAAAACATAAAATTTCATATTGATTAATACCTACTTTTAAACAGAATGATGCATTAATTAAATGCCTTGTCATAACTATTATAAGCTCTGTTAGAAAAATAAACATCTCACAACAAACTACAGTGTCAGCTCTTTAATAAATACATAAAACAGAAATTAGTAGTCAATCAGAATTGCATGAACAGATTCATAGTATATTTTCTGAAATTATCTTATTCCCCAATTTTCTGCATCATTTAAGGCGATTTAACTACTTATAATTCAAAGCCAGAAATAGTAAGAAACTTTTTTAATGAGAATTTGTTTCTTTCATAAGAGCTATTTTAAATTCAAATATTTTAATTTAAAAATACTCTATATTAATTTTTTTACAAAGACAGGACTTGTTAAATGAAACAAATAAGGTTATGTTACTGATAACTTAAAAACATTACTAAATTATTTTTGAAGATGTTTAAAAAACTTTAATGAAGTAACTGGTAAATGTAAAATTGTTTTAAAGTTATGTTAAATATACACAAAATTATTTTCTATATTATGTGCAAATTTATATTTTCTTATAATTTAGAATTAAAATATTTCATGTTCAACATTCTTAAAGTTTCTGTACCATAAATTTTGTCATTGTGGGGAATTCTTATCAAAATCACATTTATCTGTGATACAGTGTAAAGTTAGTAAGTGTTCTTTACACAAATCACACAATTTATATCCTTGATAACTGCATTTGGTTTTTTTTGTTTGTTTGTTTTGTTTTTTAATATTGTTGGATTAAATAATTTTTACTGAAATAGGTCACAGAGGTTGGAAATCTGATTAATAGACTTAGCTTACAAAGATAGATTTTATGCAGGAAAGTATGCCAGGTAGATAAAAGAGTAGTGTTATTACTCTCAGATATTTCATTAACAGCTGCCCAGATAGCTGAACAATTGTTTCATATAATTCAAATAACTTAAGTATGCAGTTTTATGACAGTCATTATATAGGCTTGAAAGTAAATTTATCAAAGCCAAAGAAAAAAGTCAAACAAAAAGGCAGAAATGAGAAAGAAGTATAAAAAAATGAGAGGACTTGAAGGGAAAGTTTTTTTCCTACAGTACTGATTGGTTGTATCATATTTTTCTTCTGTCATTGACATAAGATATACAAGATGCTACATAATCTAATTATGATAGTTTCTTATATTTTTCCAGTTAATTTTGTTTAAAGTGAGATGATAATATGAAAATATTCTTTAGAAAAGAATAGAAAGATTAAAAATTTGTTAGCAAAGCTGGGAGAAACCTACCCATTCTTATCAATTAGTTTTGCTGAAATCAAAGCCACTAGCATAAAGTAGACATAGGAAGATGAAAGAGCTTTTATAACCTAAAGATCTACAGGGTCTGAGCTCGTAATCAGACAGGCTTCATGATGAGTTGTATGTGATTCAGTTGCACTGAAAATTGGCCTCACATATTATCATAAATGGGTTCTCAAATATATTTATAAGAAAAAGGAGTGTCCTTATCCCCGTGAACATTTAAAGGTGAATTAGTTAATACTTATTCAAGTACAACTTCAAACACTGCATCTAAGATGCCAATTGCAAGATGTATCACAATTTTACATTTAGAAATGTGGAATTGAAAACTAGATATCTTAGAATCAATGAAATATGAATACGTATAATCAGTTACCCATAATAAATTAGCCATACAGTAATTATAAAAGAAAAATGAAATGATCTGAAAAAATACTAGTTTTATACTTCTCTGAAAATATATCTGTTTGCACTGAATGAAATGGAGTTCTTAAGGTCAATATAAATAAGGAGAGTTGTGAATTAAATATTAAGTATATAAAACAGAATACAAAATACACATGATTGAACTCCCAAATAGCTATATTTCACTCAATACTTTTATTAAAGATACAGATTGCAAACCCTTTAGACCTGAAAGAAGTTCAAATGGTTGTGAAAATTTTAAATTCTTAGTTTTTAATGTGTATGTCTTGTTCAGTTACATGATGAATGCTGAAATCATTGAGAGATTTTTGGAAATGAAGAACTCCCTTAAACCATTACATTGAGTCATTTTTTATAATAAGCCTTATTGAGCTTAGAGTTTTAGGGCAATCTCAAGAATAGTGAGTAGGAAAACCAGAAGCAAGGAAAGGAAGGAAAAGTCATTGAGTCTAATTTACTATACCTTGTAACCAGAAGGAATATAATTCTATGGAGAAAAATTTTTGTACTTCATCATACTTTTATTTCAGTGTCTCATGGATACTTGTTGTCATACATAAGAATATTTTTAATGGGATTAAGTAATGTTTCTTAAAAATTTGGAATTTATCCTTTTGTGAAGTGTTGTATTTGATGCATCTACCAATTTTAAGTTTTGGAAAAATTTGCCTCCAAATAAATCTACTCTGTTAACCTTAGATTTTTTTATCCTTATAACCACAGCTACACTGAACATTCAGTACATAATCAGATTTTTAAGTGAATTTTTGAGTCTTGCAGAGCATGTCTATGACTTCATACATATTAATAAGTGTCTAAAAAAGATATCAAATGTTTATAAATCCATGTACACTATGGTGTAAAGATCTCCCCAGAGAAATAAAATGCATACAGTTATATTGTAGTGTATATATATCACATTTCTAAATCATTGTGTACTTTAGAGCACAAAAATGCTATCGTACCAAAAGTGTTGTTCAAGTTCTTTGTTAACTATTTAAAATTTCATTATATGTTTAATATCACAAATCTCAAAAGGCTCGTATGGTCATATTAGTTGAAAATAGGCTCTATTTACATAAATTATTTAATCTAAGAATAAGAATACCCTGTTTTCCCTTACCTATTAATTATTCTAACTAGTCAAATATTAATTCTCTTCTCATAAGCCATTTTACAGGAAAATATCCATTATTCAAGTAAAATATAAGTTCTAAAATCTTTAAGAATTAGGTCTTTAAGTAAAAAAAGAAAGCACAAGACATAACAAGCATAACTACAATCATCATCAAGCATAGAACTGCCTATCTGGAAGTTTGTCTTTTCCTATGATAACAGCCTTGGTCCATTATATTAGTGCAAACTAGTGAGAGTATAAAAATATAAACCCTTGATTTTTAAGAGTTTCATTTTATTATGCTCCTTTGGATAATTCATTCCACATGGAGATTAGTTTATGAACATTATAATGTTCATTTTTTTAAACTGTCAGCATTTTAATGAATAGATGTTTTCCACTTTTTCCTTTTGGAGAGCTATCAGGTATCCAATTTTTCTTTAAAAATGGATACTGTGTGTGATAAGCAGCCTGCAGAATATGATCTTTACGTTATCCTTGGTGATCAAAGGTATCTTACACAAGTGAGTCACAGTACTGAATTATGTCATTGTCCCCAGTCTCATTGGGGAAGGAAATACAGTTCAATTTAGCATCATAATGGCTTGGCTGTAGGGAACAGTTAATGGAGCTGCTGTGCTTGTTTGCTCCAGAACAACTTATTATATGTTTTAAAATCCTCTTTGGGGTAAAATATGGGGTGGGAATTAGTCTTCATTAAAATGCAAATATCTGGCCTTTCTTCAAGTGCTGGAAGACAAATTTGGGAAGTTAATCATAAGAAAACATTTGAAACAAATTCCTTTGTTTTCATAAGCAAAGCTCTGTACTACACACAGGACTATTGGACTTATAGCCAATAAAATCAGACTCAGTGAGTCCGTAGGGATATGGTAATTGTGAAGAAGTTTCCATGGGGGAAGGTAAAAGCTCATGGCCTCTGTGTCAGGCTCTCTGGCTGAGCTCTGCACAACTCACAAGCTGTGGTGTGAATGGATATCCCTGTAGTTAGGCCATGCAGCATTCTCTTAGAAGCTGATTAGCAGGAAAGACTGGAAGCCAATCATGGAATTCAGTTTGAGTTACGCTTTTCTGCTTTGCTTTGGAATTTTCTCTTGTCCATTTACTGAAGACTTCAGTTAATCCCACTGAAAAATACTTCCAATGAAATATTTTAAAGATTCAAGAGGTAGCATGATACTGTGAATGAACACAAGCCTGGCAATAAGAAGATAAAAGTTCTCTTCAAAAGCTACCACTTAATCACTTGGGTGTTTTTTGAGATATCATTTAAACTTTCTGAGCTTCAGTTCCCTAAGTAAAAGGATGAATTAGCTTATTTCTAAGATACTGTCTATCCTCCTCCAATTGTATACTTTTAAAATTCTTGTGAGTATGGTTTAGGTGGTTCAGGAAAAGAACTCCTTAGGCTGCTGCACGGAAGGGTGAAAATAATATAGCTTAATATAGCTTTTAATTAGAAAAATGCTAATGTCTACTTGAAGTAAACATCTGAGAGAACTCACTAAAGAATATGGCACTTTGCTTGAGGCAGAGTTTCTAAACGCCTTGTGATCTTCAACCTGATGATTAGACAAATGAAATGGTGAAACATCCAGTTTATCAGGTAAGAAGGTATATAAGACTCCACGTCTACACACAATGAAGCTGTCTGATTTTGATGTTACTTTACAGTGTCCCTTATTAAACATTCAAATTTAAAAATCAGTATTCTAATAAAGTGACATTGTATTATTAGGTTTTTATGGCAGTAGTAACTTAGCACTTATATAATCCAGTCATCTGTGACATATATAAACTTATCCTGTAAGAAAGAAAAAATATAAAGGCAAAGAGAGAATGTTGAAATTAGTATCTTGTAAGAAGCAGAAAACATAAACACATGCATAACACTACTCAGTTTCAAAAGCAATATCCCTCAAAATTAAGGTTTTATCTAGTAGCCTCTTGAATAAGTGAGACGCTAATCATTTATTCATCTAGATGTTCTTGTCTCTTCACTGCCAAGTGTTGAAGTGTGTGGCAACAGTAGTATAACTGCCTTTTGTTTTTTCATCCGCATGTTTGGTGCAGGGATTACTGTACCCTTGAAGTGACATAGCATTGTCTCTCTCTGGGAAGCATAGGAATGGCAGGTACCTGTAAAGTGTAATCAGTGCTCTTCAGATGATCTACATTCTATGCTGATCTAAATAAGTTATATTTTACAGTAAAGTGCTACAATGACACTAGTCTCAAACAGTAGTAAGACACATTTTTCTCTGAAAAATTCAGCAGCGATGTGAGTCACATGATGATGAGGATGCTTGTCAGTCTTCATTCAAGTGGACAACCAGCAACCAGCATGATCTAGAACAGTTTGTCTCCTCCTGTGACTTCTAAGATTATATGTTTTTAGGAGCAATTATTAAAAATCCAGTTCCCCATAAAGGACTTTTTATCTTTTTAGAAGTTGCACCTGAAAGTTTCATGAGCATTTAATTTGCTGATATCCATTTTTATTTCTTCAGGTTTCTCACGTCGGTAGGTTACTGCTCTTGTGCAAACACTTTGCAGAATCAACTTGTCCTTGGTGGAGAAAAAAAATTATTAATTAACCATCTAAATATTGGAAGTAGACAATGACATACAGATAATAGTTGTTTTTTAGAATTCACTGACCTTTTTTGAGGCCGACACCCTGTAATCTGCCGAAGACTTAATTTTATTACTATTCCATTGTAGTATCACCTGTCTAATGATAAGGACTTTAAGCAACCCAATCAGGAATGTAACTATGAAGATGATGAAAAATATTCTTAAATAGCTTGGGCTAGAAAAACATTCTGTAATAAAGCAAACAAATAAGTGGATTAAAAACTGGAATGAGTAAATCAAAGGATTCTAACAAGCAAACAGTGTTCTCCATCTCAATTCAGAGGACCAGAGATATTTGCAAATCTACATTTTCGAAACAGAAGAATGTCATTACTATTGATTTAAAAAGTAGACTATAATTTTTATTGCACATTTATTATTAAAATGTTTCCAAGAGAAAACCTTGTTTTGGAGAATAGCCACAATTAAAGTTTTCAAAAACATTATTTCTTTGCAGCTTGATTCTTTAATTGAATTAACTGGAATACGCCCAAATTCCTTAACCAAATACAATTTTATCGATGTCAGAGAGGGGCAGTTTTTGCGGTGTGCATTGTTGATCATTAAGTGGAAAACAGGATTTGAAAATTATTTAATGGCTCTGTGTATCAGCATATGTTTCTCTTGTTATCCTTGCTTTTCATTCATTGCACATCAGTAATGGAAAATAAAGTAAACAACTGCAGAAGCTAAAATCAGTACTATTCTAATAGATGAATAAGTATTTCCTTTGAAAGTGTGGTATAAATCTCTGTTAATATAACATGTAGCCTCTAGGGAATAGGAGTGTCCAGCTCAGGACAATATGCAAATCTCTTTCCTCAGTTTTTAATAATTTAGTTTTTACTTGTCAACGAAATCTGTCACATTTTGCTTCTAAAAATTCCACTGTGTATTTTTTTTTTCAAGAACAAATAATTACTAGCTGTGAAAGGAAAATGCTGCATTAAGAGGAGGAGCATACTAAGTCTCTGTTTTAGCACCAGACCTTTGGCAAACCTTAGTTGGAAAGTCTGCAGGCTCTGTGGATGCCAGAAGCATTACCCTAATCTAAGAGGAACATTGCACAATATGCCAGTATTCCACAGAATTCACTAGCTGCCCCAGATACACAAAATTTCCTCCTGACTTAAAGAGGCATGTGTTTTCTTCCTACTCTCCAGACTTTGGGGACTTCACCTAAATGCCTGAAGTTCTCTCTGAGAGGGCCTTTTGGGAGGGGACCTGCCAAGATTGAGAAAAGCGGTCACCCATACATGGGTAATTTGTGTCTGAATTCGCAGGGATGACCAAGCATGCTTTTGAATAAGCCAAGAACTCAGAAATGAGGCAAGAACTCCTTCCAAGTGGGAACATTTAGAGCTCAGTTTTCTTTGGTCAGTGATAAGCTTCCTTGAAAGAAAGGCTAAAGGGAGTCCAGAGGACTACTGATTGGAATAGAAGTACCAAAAGCAAGCACATATTTCCTGTTGTTACTGGTCTCTCACACAGGGAGACTCCAACATGCTTTATTCAAAGGTGGTGTCCTTCGAGTCTAACACAGTGACCTTCAGGTTTATGACAAGCATGCCTTTCATCCTGACAGACTGTCATTTCCCTTGGCTGATTTAGAACTAGTCAATCAGCTAAAGCAGATCCTTAAAGGGGACACGTGTCTTGATCCCACTTATTGGCTTCTTGCCCAGGAGGAGCTTAGCCAGTAGACTGGAACAACACCCTTTAAATGTGATTGAGTGGATAGATAATAGAGGTGGCTAACAAGTCTTCTTTCCCTCTCCATCCACCATAGTTGTGAAGGGGAGGGGAGCCCCCTAGCTACCAATAAATTTTACAAATATTTCTAATGGGTTAGGATAGAGGACATTTTCTGGCTCAAATCTGTATGCATTTTAGAATGTCATTTGGATAGACAAACATTTAGCCTTGGCCATGCCTCTCATTTAGTTTAGGTCAAGCAAGGGCTTTTCCTAAGGAGCTTTAAGGGAATATTTTTGTAACCACACTTAGGTCAGAGTAGGTTTGTTTACTTAACATAATAAATGACATGTTGACAGTAAGGGCTCTATTTATTAGAAAAGGCACTTGGCTTTCTGTAGTGATTGCTGCAGCCCCAGCTGGCAGCACATGGGCTCCTTTCAAAGCCAAATTCATTATGGGCTAAGATCACTGTGCATACAAGGGAAGAAGGAAACAAAACTGGAGAAAGTTCATTCTTCTGTGCAGTCTAAGAGCTGGAATTGTCTTTATAGGTTGGAGAAGAGACTAAAAATAATAGTAGCAGTAGAAATGTCTTAAAGAAGACATAATTTCAAGCTTAATTTCTAATTCATGTGTACTTTAACACCTTATACCTGAGCCAAGTAGAGTACTGGCTTTTGGCTTCTAATGAATTTTTATCTGAAAGTTGTCTTTGAACACAGCTTTCACATGTTTCTCCCATTTGCATGTCATCTTTTAATTCACACATTTCTTTCATATTCACTGGCTCATTTAATCTCCTACAATTCCTTGAGTTTGGTATTATTATCTTTATTACATATGAGGAAACTGAGGCTCAGAGAAATTTTGTAAGAGGGCTGGTATTTCTTGTCTATTAGTGTAAAGGGACATGTGTTAAACCAAATTCTTCAGACTAAAAGTTTCATGCCTTTTCCATTATGCTGCATTTATAATCATTCACCCCTAAATTATATTTACATCAGAATGGAAAATACCAGAAAGGAATGGCCCTTCTTAAGTTATATATTTTGCAAAAGCAGATCATTGCTACTTAGGATTTTTGGCTCCACCTGAAACATAAAAGTGAATTTTGGTTTTACATGAGGAACATTGTAACTGGAAGCAAGTTTGGGTTACGAAAGATGAGTAAGGCTCCACAGTTTATCTGTAAGGACTCTACACAGGAAATTTCCACTCTTGGCTCACTGAGGCCTTGTAGTAAATCTGTTTGGTGTGCTTCCACAGAAGGGGAACAGCATGAGAATTTAGCTGGATAATTGGATGGGAGATGTAACAATTCAGCCAATCCATGGCAAATATACTCAGCTGCTTTTTATAGAGTACCATTTCTGGATGACTGAAAACACTGAAGCAGTTAGTCCTTTCTTTAGGATGATTAATTATGGGCCCTTTTGGGGAATGTGATTCTCTGCAGATATTCTTCAGTGCTTTTTAAGCTTTGGTTTACCTGATGTTTGATCCATATAATGCTGTTCCATGAGAGCACATGAGGTTTTACAACGATCAAGTACAGCTTGAGATAGGTTGTAAGGGTGAAGGCATTGCACACAATTCCTGTAAGGATGAAAAGAAATGAAACATTTAATCTTTGAAAAGGTTGTAGCTCACGGTATTTTCTGCAAGAAATAAGATATCAAAATAGAATAGTGCTGCTTTAGACAGCAGCCATGTAAAACTGGGAAAGAAAGCCATGACATTTATTTGTAATACTGGCTGAATTTAATACTATGGCAAAATTATATTCTAGCCACTAGAAATATTTTAATAATGTATAAAATCAACATAATGAATTTTCTGTATTGAGAAGAAAGTAGGAAATGCATAAGATGCTTTCATCACAAATAAAACCCACAAAAATATTTTAGAGGATATATATTATTCTATTAGAAAAGTTTAGCAATGAATACACAGTTCAAGTTTCAGTTGGGTTCATTAGAAATAACTTCAACATTATGTTTAAGTACTGCATCCCCAAGAGAGTTACATAAATTGCTATGTATAATTTTAAAAATTTAGTTGAGCTACCAATCTGAGAAAGTAAATGTCTTAAAATTTTTGAATATAACAAATTGGAAGGCACAGTAATGTTTAGAGTAGTGATCTTTGAGCAGGCTCAAACTGTTTCTGGGAAATTAGTTACTGACACAAAACAATGTCACCTTCATTAACATATCACCTTTTACTCATCCATCACTTATTTCCAGAGGTGCTTCATAGCCACTATCATTCTTTTTTTTTTTTTAAAGATTTTATTTATTTATTTGACAGAGATCATAAGTAGGCAGAGAGGTAGGCAGAGAGAGAGAGAGAGAGGAGGAAGCAGGCTCCCCGCTGAGCAGAGAGCCCCATGTGGGGCTCTATCCCAGAATCCTGAGATCATGACCTGAGCCGAAGGCAGCGGCTTTAACCCACTGAGCCACCCAGGCGCCCCAGCCACTATCATTCTTTATGTTTAAAATAATTTTTTAAAAAACAATAAAAAATAAAAGAAAACCAGTAATAATAGCTAACATTTATTCTAGGATTATCACGCACCAAGTACAAAAGTTGGGTTATTTTTGTTTTATGTCAATCATCTAACTTAATTCTGTCATGGAACTGTATCAGGTCTTATTATAATCCTCATTATTATTTTAGTCATCATGTTGCACACCTTAATTTTTAAGCCTTGTGTAAACAAGGTTATATGTCAGTTATATCTCAATAAAGTTGGGGAAAAAACAATGGACACTGAATGTTATTCTTTAAAACAACAAACCTATTTCAAAAAAGGTAAGGAAGTGAATGCCTAGATCAATTCTGATACTTTCACAACTATCTATCTAGTGGCCAAAAATTCGAATTCAAGTTTTCTAATTCCTAAATTCCCCATTCAGTTCTTTTTTAGCATGATGATAACAACTTACCTAGTAGAGAAGATCCAGCAACTTCTAAGGTTAAGGAAGGCAAAATAAAAAAAGGACGAACACATCTATAATGAAGGACTGCTTTATGTATGTTTCTGTATGTTTGGAGTCAGAGAACACATACCAGTTTTCACTGCAGGCTGTGTGACACGTGGGACAGTGTTCACAGAAGCGGCCGATGCTCCTGGGATCCGTGCATTCACATCTGCCACATACACACGTACCTCTTCCACTACACACTTGGCCCTTCGAATTGACACAGTGCTGGGCTGATGCTGATGGGCACTGGCAGCGATCCCCTTCCCAGCCACTGAAGCACTGGCATCTGCCCGCATCACACTCTCCATGCCCTGCAACAGACACTCTGGGACCTAAGTTATTGGGGCCACTGATCTGTGAAGTGTTTCCAAACATGAAATCCTCTCCCGTTTTCCAGGGAAACACTCTGATGATCAAGTGAATGGAAATAGCATCATTTTATTCGCCTGACAAGAACGATGCTAGGGTTTAGGAGTGTCTATTTTCAAAGCTATTCAGTTGTAGAGAATCTCCTGATGCTAAGTGTTGTGCTGACAGTTGTGACATCTCTGCTGCAGTGGTTTCCTGGCCACTTGCAGGTCACTGGTTGTTCAGTTTTAAATTAAAAACACACAAAAATAAAAAAAGCTACAAAGGCTGAAGTAATGTTAATTGTTTTAAAATCCGAAAAATAGGGGTATTTGATTAATAGCTTCCATAATTTATTCCTGTAGTCTTTCATGATTGCTGAAGGCCTGGGATAATTTTGGTTTTTGAGGCAAACCCCTGTAGGGCTTCAGTGCTGCTCGGGTCATTTTAAAGTTCTCTGGGGAAGTTGAACTAATCGTTTCATGTCACCAGGACATTATTTAACAGGTTAGAAGGGCATGTCCTCCAGTAGTCTGTGAGCGGTTATTAGGTCATAAATGAGAGAAGGTAAGGTGGGGTATGTGTGTTAAGTGTGTGTGCGTGTGTGCAAAGGTACACTTGTGTGTTGGGGTTAGGGGCATGCAGACAAATGAGTTGAAGGGAAACACTTGTTATATGTACTTAAATGGATTTTAGACAGCAGAAAGCATCTAAAATTTAGTAAGCTTATATGAATTAGAAATCTTCAAGAGGGAGTATATATTACAAGGTCACATAATGTTTCTCAAGCTTATGTGGCCACAGACGTTTCCTTCCTTCCTTCTCTTGCTTCCTGACCTTCTCCCACTCTTCTTCCCTCCCTCCCTTACTGAGAAGCACCTCATAGGGTAACTGTTCCATAGAATCTACTGTTGGATCAACTCAATTGCTAAATGTAAAACTAATGAGGTCCAGGCCACACGAATGCCTGCCAGACCCTGTTCCCTATATATAGGCTGCACGCCTAATCCTATCCAGCTGACCTGTGAACGTGTGTTTTTATTCTCAAAGGAGACTAGTGAAGAAAATGTTTGTCAGCCTACAGTTTGCACTTATAATTTATACACAAATAATTCAAAGCAGATTTTCAACTGCCTGTGGCCAGTAGTATAGTCATATAGGAGGGCTAGTACATTGGCTTTTGATATTTAACTATAAATAGAGACTGGGATTCTCAATGTATTTCAAGCTTCTTTGGCAGATCAATAGTTGTGGGATGTCAGAATTATTCTTCTTCCCTGTTCCAAATAGGATTAGCTTTGCAAATTAGAAGATAATTGCTAGTTTGTTCTTAAGTCACCTATAATCCATTTTACCAATGATACCAGGTACAGCAGAATAATATTTGGCATATAAAATGTTTCATGTATATAACAGAATAAAAAGGCAATTTTCCATTGCATATTTCTAGTTTATACAAGAATAGAAAATTTGTATGGGTTTGTTACTTTCTGTATGGTTATGACAGTGAAATATTTCAGTTAATCAGTAATTTAATATTTGCTTACCAAATCCAAACATTAAAAAGCTGTTTTAGCAATAAATGGATTCAGCACAATGTCACAGAAAAATTGATTCATTTAAAAACAACATTTTGTATTAAACTTCAAATGTTGCACAGATTTTCTAGAATCTAACCTCTAGGTGGCAGTAAACTGAATTAGCCAAAAAGTACTTTTGATATTTTTGTTTTAAATTATTTCATTTTTAAACTTTGTCTGCGTGTGGCCTCTGGTACTAATCTTCTAGATTACTTATGAAACCAACATTTTCTTGGAGAATGCTGTCCTTTGATAATTTCGTTACTGGTGTTCCAAAAATATACTGGAAAGGTTTAAGTTATTACAAATTTATAATACCATTTGTAATAATGCATTATTTTCCAATGAAAGGAAACTTATATAGCTCACTATTCTCTGAGTGAGTTGGAGGGAATGACCACTTAGGAGAGTGAATCAGGTCTTTCTAGAAGAATACTCTGATTATAGAAAGCCTGCCAGACATCATCAGTAATTTCCTTTTCTGGATATATATTTTTATAAGATCAAGGCATACTTGAGAAGAACATTTAATTTTTGATTTTTATTTTGAAGTATTTCTTGTATAAAATAATTTAAAATATAAATACCAGAATCATGTGCCATAAATAAATCTGTTGCCATGCCCTAATTTCATAGACTTTGAATCTTTGAATATTAAATTCAGATTCAGGATTAGTAATTTTAAAGGTGTAATTTAAAGGTACTTAAACATATATGCTAGTTTAATAGTTACTAGTAAAAACTGCATGTATATATTTATTTATACCTACCAGCACACAGATTTCCATGGTGATATGGACAAGAGAAGTCATCCTTTTCACAGTATTTTCCATATACTTTTCCAAGCTTAATTTTGTGACATAAACATTTCCCACAAACACAAACTCCTCGACCACTGCAAACAGGTTGATCCTTGTGTGACTTGCAACTCTCAGAAGGAAATTGATCTTCATCAAAATGACATTTATTCTCATTACACTGGAAACACTTGGCATCTAGAGAAACTTCATCTACACACTTTTGTTTAGGTCCTCTCCTGTCATCACACTGACAGCTGCAGTTTCTGTGTATATGAATTTTAGTGGTTTCATTGAAACCAATAGGTTTGATTATTGCATAGCTCTTTCCTCCTGTGACATCACACTTTTTCATTGTAACTGTTACATTGAAAAGAACCTAAATGGGGGGGGAAAGGAAAGAAAATATATTTATATGTCCTGATTATTTCTATCATCACTATTATATCTATTAATGATATTCTGAATCATTAATATGCCATCTTATAGAAACTTATAATACTTTATAAATTACACACACTCTTTCAGAGGCAGATGTAACATCCCTTTTTAATTTCATTTATATCTTAATTAATGAACTAGAGAGTTAAAGGAAGCAATGACTGCTACTTGTCTATATTGTGCCATTAAATGAATATGGGTTCAAGTCTATTTGAAATGCCCACTCTTCTTCCAATGATTAACTGATGTCCTCCATTGAGTTTTTAGCAAACTTGAGAGAGAACAGATCATCTCCTGAATTAATTCCTTAAAATGTGGGGTTATTGAATATTTGGCACAAGGGAGAGATCAAATAATCTAAAATAAAGAACTACTGCTCTCCTGCTTTATAACCATGAGATAGGATGTTCGGATGAACAATTTTTATTTTTGTTTCTATTTGCTAGGGGCCCAAGTAAAGTTTCAGGGTTCAATTTTAGTTTATACATCATGTTAATGAAGGAAAACATGAGGCTTTCTCTGATGTTGCTTAAGGGGAAAAGATTTAGGACTTTCTTAGATCTTAAGATCTCAATACTAGGTCATACATTTGTCTCAGGAGATGTGAGCCCACAACTAAAGATCTGAGTTGGCAGGGGTTTTTTCCTCTTGTGAAATGATCCTGCCATGTTTTTCCTTTCTCTCTATTTTTTTTTTTTTTTGCAGGACATGATGGGTGTAATGTGTCTTTTCTATTTGTTAGCCTATCTTATGATCTTCAGGTACTTTGGCAAATAAGATTGTAGGTTTTTTCCATTTTAGACTGAGATCCATTAAAACTTAAAAATAATTTGTGATAGCCTTTTTTGTTGGAGTGGATATATATATGTATCTCTACTCCGACCAAAAAGCCTAGCACAAATACATGTGTGCACATACACATACATGCACAAGATACAAAATATCTAACTTTAGGCTTATATGTTACATATTTGCATCAGAAATTAGAATCAGTTCCATAATATTAAAATTAATGCAGTTGGTATTGTACTTGAGATGTTTTTTGTCTTTAAGAATGTTAAGGATTAACAGATGTGTAAGATAATGTGGTCATTGCCAAAATTAATAGAGCAAAACTTGGGGTTTATATAATTAAGAGGTCACATGACTCTTTCTGAAAGTCAAACTGTTTATACTACTTAGTTGAAAGTGAAGGGGGAAAAGGGATTATAGACAAAGGAAAAGGAAAAAAAAATGTAAGCAGTAAGGAAAAACATTCTGACAAAACTGATTTTGAAAGGAAGAACTACTAAGAGGATAACCCTTTCTCAGAAACTTATCCTAGCACAAAGTTTATCTATATTTAATGGAAATCAAATATGTATATTTTATAAACTGGTACATAATGTCTTGGGAACAAAATCCATGAAGTGATTATGCAAGACCTACAGAAACAGATACTAGCAATGATTGATTTTAATTGGAGCAACTATACTATCCAAAGGTTCTAAATTTTCCAAGGCGGAAACATACAGCCCAGAACTTTAGATATGAAAAGAAGGATTAGAAATCTTTTAGTCTGAACAGATCATTTAAAAATGAAGCAACTGAAAATCACTGCATCTAATAGGAATTCCCTTTAAAAGCTTATTTTTGTGTGTTTGCTCTCTATCATGCCAATACTGGGAGAATCCCTATCTCTCCTGGTCCTATTTCCTAACACTGCAATAATCTGGGCCCTACACCCTCCCCCCATATTTTATCTTTTTTTGGTTAAATAACACTTCTTTTTTTATTGTAAATAAATTCCCCCACCTCTTCCTAGATCATTATGAGTTTATTGGGACAATAACACAGTGAAAGATTTTGGAATTCTTAACCTTTATCAACTGCTCCATCACTCCCATTCTTTTTTGTGGCTTATTACCTTTGATTTCAAATTTATTCTGAGAATTTTCAGATTTGAAACCAGAAAGGTATCATCATCATCATAAGTGTAGACACTGCTTGTTTGAAGAGATGTGCTTTACTGATATACAGTGGCTGTGACTCCTAAGTTTAAAGTTAATATTATTAAATAAGTGTTTAATATGTATTTAACTTGAGAGTTTGAGAGAACAGTCAGTGGAGTTAAAACAAGTCGGAACTTTGGAAAGAGACAATAAAAATTACTTTGAAGCATTTAAATAAGATACTTGGAGTTTGTAGTAAATAAAGTTTTCCAGAATGATTTGATTTTTCTGTGAGAAAACATGCCAGACAACTTAGTTTATTTTAAATGGGAAGAATGTACACCCACATACTTCGTCATTGCTTGTCACATTTCCACATCCGTCTGTGCCTGGTTTTCGGGTCCCATCTGGACAAATGGCAGTAATGTTAAAATAGACGCCTTTTACCTGGTTTTCCACCTGAACTTTGACTTCTGAAATGAGTTTCTGCAGAGACATCATGTTTTGATTGTATATCACAAAAGTTTCAAATGTAAGCAGTTAAGCAGAGGCGAGCTTATTAAATCATTCTAGATTTAATTTTTAATGAAATCAAAGTCTGTCTCCATAAAAGGATAAATAAATGTAGTGTTTCCATGTAATGACCCAATTGTATTTGAGATACATAAGAAATACTGAAGGATTAGACCATTTGCATTTAAATTGTTCTATTTTTTCACATTTTCCATGACTATGCAACTGATGACTTTAAAGATATTGCTCATTCAGCTTGTGTTACAAAATTAGTCATTTTAACTCCAACAATATTTAAATTTTGTGACAAAACTTAAATAAAACACTGAGAACACCTATATTGTCACAAGGGTAAATCTTTAACAGCTTAAAATCTGGAACACATGTCTGACAATCTCAGCTATTAAATAAGCATTTCTGTTTGAAACACTTTAGGCTATCATGAAAACTGAAATACCTTATTAATACAGAATTGAAAGGTAAATTTTGGCGAGGGCGTTTCTGTACTGTAGGCATAAGAATTATCTGCCTGGGACACCTGGGTAGCTCAGTGGGATACAGCCTCTGCCTTCCGATAGGGTCATGATCCCAGGGTCATGGGATTGAGCCCCGCATCCGGCTCTCTGTTCAGCAGGGAGCCTGCTTCCCTTCCTCTCTCTCTGCCTGATTGTAAACTCTGTCTGTCAAATAAATAAAATTAAAAAAAAAATTATCTGCCTGATATAGTCCTGTAAAATTCTCCAAGAATGGCCTATGATTTTTGTCAAATCCCTGGGGCTTGCCTGTGTCACATTTGTTCTAATCCTTAATACTAAAATGGGACCACTTACTAGACAGAAAACCATTCATGCATTTATTCACTTATTTTTATAATTATTAAAAAAATAGCTATATAAAGTTTATCATGTATCAAACACACACAAATTTCTTCCAGCATAATCTCTGGTTCCAAAATTTCTAACTACATTAAATATATACTGAAGATCTGTGTGTATTTTATCTCATAAAACAGTCTACCACATGTAAAAATCCTTACCTTATAAACAAAAAAGATGAAGTATATACCTAAGAAAAGAGTGAGTAGCAGGATATGAAGAAAAGTTTTTTTCTATTGGCTTCTAATATTTTACTTGAGTAAATTTTTATCTTCAACTGTATAATTGATAAAGAGATGTGTGCTTACTGACTGATAATGGACCATGGTGGTAAATCTAGAACAAAATACTTATTCAAATCAGTAAATTTTATTTGGATTCAATAAGACTCTATTAGCCACATTTTTAAATCTCCCAGAGAGCTCATCCATTGTAATCACTTAATTGAACATTCTCAGCAAGTCAACAGAAACTTGTAATGGTATATAAATGGTCTTGATAGGGTGATGGTTTGAAAGATCAGAAGGAAATTTCCAGTACAATGAGTGTTCTCAGTTTGCCTTCTGGAGTTCTTTCTCTTAAGAAGTTAACCTTGTTATACTAATGTTTTTCACTTAAGCAGGTGTAAAGACAAATGTCTAAAAAATTTGCCCAGTTTTGAAATTTAGAAATTAGGCTCAAACACAATATTAAGTTTCCTTTTTAATATCTAACAAGTACAGAGGCAGATTTTTTTATATACAATTCTGTTTATATTCAATATAATTTATTTTTCATTTCTTAATTTCAGCTTAAGTTATTTTAGTCATGATTTTTATTTAATCTTAATTCTAATGGCAGTGCTGATGTAAAAGATAAAAAACAAAATGCAGTCATATTCACCATGCACTAAATTTATGGGTAATTTTATAAAATTCTTAGAAAGGAAATGCAAAAAATTCAAAGTTAGAATGAAATATTTTTATTCTTTTTCTTCAATGAATTATATATTATTTCTGTTGGACTGTGAAGACAAAATAATATTTCAGAAGAATTTCGAAAATATACGCGTATGTTAAGAAAAATAACAGAATCACAACCTAAGGAGATTAATTAGCCAGAGTCAGTCTTATTGGATTTGCTAGTATGTTCCCATTGTTTAAGGTTAATCAGAACTGCAGTTAGCTAAGGCATTGGATATCTATCCTGGGCAAATAAAAAACATAAAACCAAATACTGCTGCTTCCCTTTCCACTGGTACAGTCTGACACACAGACAAGTTTGTCAGTTTATTGTTTGGCATTTCTTGTCTGGAATAATCAGTGGGTTCATACTATTAAAAACTAGGGTGATTTCTAAGACGGCACATTCCTTCCTTACTTTGATTATTCCTGGGAACAAACTGCAAAGGGGAATGAACTGTACACGTTTGATCCTCCTTGATAAGAAGCTCCCCCAGTCCTAATATTCTTTTGTAACAATGAGAAATAAAAATAATTAAAGATAGTCTTCCTTATTTTCTCCAACATAGTTTTCAGACATAGAACAATTCCTTGGCAAAAAACAAAACAAAACAAAAACAAAAAAACCTCACACGGTTTTTCTTTTAAAAGAATAAAGTTTAAACAAGTCCTTCGTTTTCTATTCCGTGTCTACTTCCTGACTTTCCCTTTTGTGCTCAGGAGAAGGCAGAGCTGCACAGAGAAAATGAGAAGAGAAGCCTGAGGTTTCTCATAAGGCTTGGGCTACTATGTACACTGTTCATCTCTACTGTGTGAAAAAGAGAATCAGAGAATTTGGGAAGTGAGACTTTATCAGTGGTCCATACGTTCAAGGTAGAGTAAAGCATATCTTTGTTAAAAAAAAAAAAAACAAAAAAAAAAAAAACAGGTGTTACCACACAGAAGGAAGTACCCGGGGCCTAGAGTTAAGAAAGACCTAGGTTCTCGTGCTGATCTTTTTGTTTCTTTTACCCTTGGTTAGCTTGCTTAGCTTCTTTGAGGTTCTATAAATACAAAATGGGAGTACTAACATCTTCCTTATGGATTGGTTGTGTGGATTAAATGAGGTCACAAATGGAAAGTAATGTTTCTCAGTGGTATTAATGTAATAATCAAGGATGCCTGGGTGGCTTAGTCAGTTGAGCATCTGCCTTCAGCTCAGGTCATGATCCCAGGGTCCTGGGATCCAGTTCCACATCAGGCTCCCTGTTCGTTGGGGAGTCTGCTTCTCCCTCTTCCTGCCCCCACACCTGCTAATGCTGTCTCTCTCTTGCTATCTCTCTCTCTCAAATAAAATCTTAAAAAAATAAAGTAAAAATCACAATTATTACAACATCTTAACAGTGATTATTCTATCCAGGAATGACCTATGCTGAGAGAGCAGATGTTTCTGTAAATCTTTGCATTTGGCACTCACTCTTGATAGACTAGGGACAGCATACAACTGTCAGTTCAATAAAACAGTATACCTCTTAAGGTGATTCTTTTAATCAAACTAATTTGATAATATTGCTAAAATAACTGATTAAACAATCAAGTAATTTATCTAAGAGACTCCAACAGAGTCCTCTCAGTAATCTTGATACATGATTTGGTGACTTATTGAACATTTCATTTAGAAAAAAAATCAGATAGCCTGTAGCCTGACTTGAGTTTATTGTCAATGAGACAGTGAGGTAAAGAAAGCTGAAATGACTTTCCCAAGGATACAAGGCTAGTTAGTGATAGAGCCAGGGCTAAATTCAGGTTTCTAATTTTTAACCTAATTTTCTGTTCATGATTCCTCTCAAGATGATAGGGTACTAATTTGTATCTTGCCATAGAAACTGGGGTTAAAAGTTTATATGAAAAAATTGTGTTTAATATATACATACCTGATAGGCTTCTACTACCAAATTATTGAGGTTTGCAGCCTTTGATTCTATTTCACCAGCAATGGTGCCAGGCAAGAGGGGTAGAAGGTCCTAGAAAACATACCAATAATATTTACTTAATGACAGTAGTATACAGTGGCTCAGTAATTAACAAATATTAAAAATTCTTAGAGTTACAGGTGGAAGGTGAGCCATTACATGAAGGAAAAAATATGAGATACAAGAAAAATATAAGCAAGCAGGTAGGGCACCAGACCACATACACCAGACTACAGAGTCCAGAGTGCTCACCATTATACCACGGAACCACCACCAGACTACAAATGGGAGTGTGTGTGTATTCTATGTGTGTGAGCATGTATATGTCCACAAATTACATGTTGACCTAAAAACCCAATCAAAGTACAGACCAGGATTTCCCAAAGTAATCTCCCATGTTCCACGGAATATAGTTATCAAAAGTGTTGTGAGGGCAAAAATTTTAGAAAGTTCTGCATATGGTTTCTTCCACATAGATACTCAAAATGCACACTTGCAAAGTAAAGGTTCAGAGAAGTCTTGGAAATGATTTAGCAGTATTTGCTGCAGCATTTCCAACATTTTCAAATTATAAAACCCTTTTCTCATGTAGCATATGTAAATATGAAGAACTACTGTTCCATGGAGTGACCTTCAGGACAAGTTGGCCCAGAATGGAGAAAAAAATCATTGTCACTAGTGGAAGCTTCTTGGAGTGGGTATTTTTGGTGGATGTCACTAAACAATTATGGAGAAAACTCTAGGTATTCCTAGTGAGAAAATGAGAATTAGCAAAGGCTTAAAGGTTTACCTGAGTTCCAGATGAAGGAAGAAAAGAGAAGAAACCAATCTGACTGGAGTGAAGGCTGAATTTTTTTTTTTTAAAGATTTTATTTATTGGGGCACCTGGGTGGCTCAGTGGGTTAAAGCCTCTGCCTTCAGCTCAGGTCGTGATCCCAGGCTCCTGGGATTGAGCCCCACATCGGCCTCTCTGCTCGGCGGGGAGCCTGCTTCCCTTCCTCTCTCTCTGCCTGCCTCTCTGCCTACCTGTGATCTCTGTCTGTCAAATAAATAAATAAAATCCTTTAAAAAAAGATTTTATTTATTTGACAGAAAGAGAGAAACACAGTGAGAGAGGAAACACAAGCAGGAGAAATGGGAGAGGGAGAAGCAGTCTCCCCACCAAGCAGGGAGCCTGATATCGGACTGGATCCCAGGACCCTGGGATCCTGACCTGAAGGCTGAATATTTTTAAGGAATCAGATTATGGAAAGTCTTAAAATCCATTTGTACACTCATCTTACCATACACAAGTATCATTAAGCTCCTGCTGTATGCCAGCCACTACTTGGACATTAACAATTTGGTATCTTAGGTAACAGGTAAAATGTAGCACTCACAGATTTTTAAAAGGCATTTATCTAACCTTTATTGAATACCTATTATGTACCACTTTGGAGTTCCCATCCTTAAGGACCTCACAAGTATATCAATTTCAAAAAACAATATACACATGAAGTAGCAGAGAAAATGCAGACCATGATGAGAGGGATCCCCAGCAAGCATTTGAGGGCTGGGGAAGTCTGTCAGGATTGTTTCCTGGAGGAGATGACTCATGAGCTCTATCTTAAAGGATGACTAAGAGTGAGCCAAGTAATAAGGGAAAGAGACTTCCAGGCAAGAGGAAGAAGTAGCAAGAACAAAGGCACAAAGAAAGAGGGAGCCTGGTAAGTGTGTGTGCACGGGAGACTTAAAAGCAAGCTAGAGGGAGAAGTGTAAGGCAGAGAATAAGGTGGGGTATGAGAGGCAAGTAGGGACCAGATGGTCTCATATGTCACCGTAAAGACTTGATCCTTTAAATCAGAGAGAATCACTGGGATAGTTTGCTCTAGGGAGAACTTTGGTCACAAATTGTGATTTAATAGATCATTCTGCATCCAGGTAGAGGATGAATTTAGGAGACAGGTTAGGAGGCTGTAACAACCCAGATGAAGGTGGTTGATAAAAATATCTCTGGGCAGCCAAAGTTGGTGACTGTAAAGACATACATAGGACTTTTGGCAGAACTTGTCAGGGCTTCTGAGCCTGTTGATTTAGTTTTACATAATTCAATTAATAATAAACCTGGCTTATGATTTTATCTATCAATGAAAATCTTTTTAAAGGACTAGGGAGAAACTGCTAAGCCAATAACAACAACAACAACAAGAAATAATACATAGCAGAGAAGGATGAGGCTAAAGTAGTAAAAAGCCACACAATAATATGAAATTCAACTATTGTTTTCTTTCTATGCTAAAGTTGTTTTTTTTTTTTTTTTAAGTTACAGTCCCATTTTTTTTTTTCTTTTCAAATTTTTATTTAAATTCCAGTTAACTATCATACAGTGCAATATAGAATTCAGGAGCAAAATTCAGTGATTCATCACTTCCGTACAACACCACTGCTCATCATATCCAGTGCCCTTCCGATACTCATAACCCTCCTCCCTCCATCAACCCTCTCTTTGTTCATCTTTAAAAGTCTCTTATGGTTTGTTTCCCTCTCTCTTTTTCTTTCCCCCCCTCCCATATGTTTATCATCATCAGTTTTTTATTTCTTAAATTCCATATATGAATGAAATCATCTAGGTATTTGTCTTTCTCTGACTGACTTATCTCACTTAGCATTATACATTCTAGCTTCCCCGGGGCATTACAAATGTCAAAACTTCGTTCTTTTTGATGTCTGAGTAATATTCCATCATATATATTTACCACATCTTCTTTATCCATTTATCAGTCAATGGACATTTGGGCTCTTTCCATAGCTTGGCTATTGTTGATAATGCTGCTACAAGCATGGAGGTGCCCCTTCGAATCTGTATTTTTGTACCCTTTGGGTAAATACCCAGTGCAATTGTTGGATCCCAGAGTAGTTCTATTTTTAACTTTTGAGGAACTGCCACACTGTTTTCCAGAGTGGCTGCACCAGTTTGCATTCCTGAAATTCAACCATTAAGCTGAGAGGCAATGAGCATGGGACTTAAGCTGTTAGGAAAGTATGGTCAAGTACATAACCTCTCTGAATGTGTTTCCTTATCTTTAAAATGGGCTTTAAATTGGTAATACTTCCCTCATTGTTATGAGTATTACATGAGTTAATGTTAGTAAACTCAGTGCCTGACAATAGTTAGTATTCAATAAATGGAATCTGTTACTTTGTTCGCAAAGTAGTTTGGGCATTTAATTTGGGCTAGAGCCCTACTTCTGTGAATATTAATGGTTATTACATTAAAAAGGGGTTCCATGGTATACCAATCTGGGAATTGATTAAAGTTTCACTGAAGATTTCTAAGGGAAGAAGTGGAATGATTAAATAGTGCTTTCAGATGAGCTAGACATTGGTCAGGTATTAGGGAAATTGGTGGAGGGAACAACAGCTTTGTAGCTAATGGAGATAGATTCAAGCATTTGCTGAAGATGAAAGAAAATGTAGTTTCTCTGAAGTATTAAAAGAAATAAATAAAGGACAGTGGGAGTGGAAAGAAGAAGCAGAGACAACAAAGGAGATGGAGATCCTGTGAACAGACATGTGCAATAAAAGGGTATCACAACATCATGAAAATTAAAAAAAAAAAAAAAAGGGAGAGAGAGAGAGTTTCCTGGAAAAAAGGGACCTAGAAGACTGTGAAAAGAACCTGACAGCATGGACCCAGAAGCAGTTTTTTGTTGGAGGTGGGTTCTACAGTGCTGCCACAGTGACATGACTGCCGAACATCTGTTCTGTTTGTGGATCTCATCTGGCCTGAAGGATTGTCGACAAAACCAGTATTATTCTTGCATAGGAAAGCTCTGACAGGGTCAGCCACTTCACTGGCTCCTCTTGTTCCTTTATTGGATGACCTAGACCAAATCTAGGTATGTTGTTACTATTGAAACTAAGCTGATGTTCCCCAACACAATCTATTATAAGAATATGGGCATGGACCAGAACAGAATCAGGAATCCAGACATGAAAAGTGTAGTTGGAATGTGAACTATTTTTTTACCTGATAAAAACCTTCTCCATTATTGTCATAGTCAGTACCACACTATCAGTCCCCACACTTGGTTCTAGGTGTTAACATAGATAGAATGTATATGTAAATGCTAATTTAAGACACTGTGTGGTATATATTAGTTAATACATTATTAAAATCAGATTGTACAAAGTACAGTAACTCTAGAATCCTCACCTGGGGTCTAAGAAGCATTCTAATTTCAACCATCGATGCAAACACTTTAATTTTTATTTTTTGGGAATTAACGTACCTTATACCAATGAAACTGTTTTCCTTGAACTGCAAAGATGACATTAATGTTGTTGTCTATTAACTTTTCAGAAAGTTGGCCTAGTGAGGGATGTTCCTGCAAAGGATAATGAGAAAAAAAAGAAGGGAGTGAAATATTGTAGCTCAATCCCACGCATACCCAAATATCATTATGAGGAAAACCATATGACTGACATAAAAATGTATTATGTTTGGAAGGATTATGGTTTTATTGGAGTCATTTAAATTAAAAAAAATAAGATCAACATCAATATATTAAGGATATTTTCTAGACAAAATCCCATAAAATCCTATAACTCAGAAAACTGAAGAGGGCTGACTCAGTGTTGTGCGAAGTACCTCTTTAGATTAAATTTGGCCTCACAGTGGTAAGAGTGAAAGATAATGTACTATTCAGAAATAAAGACACATTAGTGACAGTCATATTCTGAAATTTAGTAACAAGTGCTGAAATGCAAATATATGCATGTATAAACATAAATACATAGATATTCAGTATATAACATGATACAGTATGAACTTTGTTTAAAAGCAGAAAACCCTGTATTCAAATCCGAGATTGTCACTTTATGATAAAAATTCTATCTCAGGTCCATCCTCTGTAACATCTCAGGGGTTTTTGCCTTCCATGATTGCAAGCAAGATTAAAAAGAGACTGACTGTAAGTCATGTATTTAGTGCAGCTTCTTACATATGGTAGGTGCCCAAAACTAATAGCAATTACCATGATTTTTATTTCCAACAGCTTATACAAGGTGTATACAGTATCTCTCAACTTATCAACATACTTAACCTTTTGGTCATATGATATATTATAAATCTGTTTTACTTTGATAAATAAAATTTACACACAGCCAACTGTGACATTCTTTGTGTTAGTGAGAAAGCTGGGGAAGAGTAGGAGAAAGGGTATATAATTTAGTAAATATGAGAAATCTGCCAACTATGGAATGGTATCTAAATTTAAATAGTTAGACATGGTACGTGATATTTTTTCTTTCTAAAAATGCTCTTCCAGAAATTAAAGTGATGATATCAAATAACAACTTCATAATTAGACACTTCTCTGAGGGATGATGTCAAACTTCACCTTCGGTGGTCCTCACCTGTTCACTGGTGCTTAGTTACATTAGCTAAGTTGCAAATAAGGATCATGTGACTGAGCCTAATTAGTATCATGTGACTCAAGCTCAAGTAACTGTAGTTTTTATTTCTCCTTTCACCTGTCAATGTTAATTGTGTTTTCTTTAAGGGGAAATTTTGCTAAACCATCTTGGTTAACATTTCTGTATTTGGGCAAACTATGTGAACTTAGTAAAAGAGCTAATTTAACTAGAGTTTCTCTTATAGCCCAAGCTCTGAGACCCAAATATTAAACTTACATACATAGATATAAGATATAGCCTTGTGTTTAAAAATACTATCACTAACATGAGTAACTGCTGGGATCTGATTATCTATCTGTGCCCTCCTTTCCAAATTCACAAGTTGAATTCCTAAACTCCAAGGTGATGGTGTTAGGAAGTGGTCCTTGGGGGATGATTAGATCATGAAGATGGAGTCCTCATGAATGGGATTAGTGCCCTTATAAAAGAGGGCCAATGGAGAAAGCCACCTTGCCCCTTCTACTGTGTGAGGTGGTGGAAATATTACAGCTTGAAGGTATCATGTATGAACTAGAAAGGAGGCTCTCACCATATCCCGAATCTGCCAGTGCCTCCATCTTAGACTTCACAACCTCTAGAACTGTGAGGAATAAATTTTTATTGTTTATAAGTCACACAGTTTATGGACTTTTTGTTTCAGCAGCCTGAATGGACTAAGATAATAACCATAACAATACATTTTATTTCTTTATTTATTGTTCTGGTAGAAACAAATCAAATTTTCATGAACTTAATTTAAATGTGATATGAAACTAATTTACAAAGAGGTTAAAGAACTATTACCACATGGATTTGCATAAGAAAAATTCTGCCCAAAGCAATTCTTCAAGAATATAATTTTAAAGTAATAGAAAATCAGTTCCCAAAATATAAATAAATTCTGCCAGATGAATTCTTGTGCCTTGCTCCTAATACTATGTATACTCTTAAAATAGATTTATGACAGTTTCCATAATGCTAGTAAATTAAAGAGAACAAGTCAAGGAAGGGTAAATCTAGCTGTATTGGGAATATTTTTTTTAATGGCAACAACTACTTTTGAAATATTTTGTTTTGACCAAAATAAATAAATAAATAAATAAGTTTGCCAAGCAATCCCCCTTAATTTTAAAAACCATTTGTATTTTAAGGAAAATTTAATCCATATATTTTTTAACTAGTTTATACTTAACTCACATAAAATCAATATTTAAAGAACAGTCCAAAACGTAAGCAGCTTTTGGAACCTTCTTAATCTCTTTCCCCTTTTCAAAAACAGGAAGTCACATTGACGAAAAGTACACAAAATTTAAATCTAAAAAGTTCTAGTTTGGTCAGAAGCTCATTAAGAAGGTCAATTGGATTTTTAAATTTAAAAGAATACACTTTTTTTAAACCCTAGGAAGAAATCTGTTTTAAGAGAAAATTCCAGCTACTTCGAGGCAGATTTGTTAAAATTACAAATGTTTAACAGATGTTTTAATAAACCACTGTTGACAGGAGAGCTGTAGATTAATGGCCATTTTTGAAGCCCCTTCCCCTTTCCTCCATGAAGCATGTTATCTTTTAAATACTTTATCTTTTATGTCTTGTATTTCACTAGCAGAACACTCCCTCTCAGCCAGCTGTCCTTGTCTAGTGACGTCACTGCTTCTCATTTCTAACTCCCCCTCTGTCTAACCTATTACATATTGTTTCTCTAAACTCTGAAAATAATTAACAGAGATAACAAGCATTTCAGGGGCAAGAAGGGAGAAGGGAAAGCAATGTGCCAAGACAGCTGCTAAGTATTTAAGGGCAAAAGGGTTCCTCTTACATTTTTCTTCTTCACCAACACCTTCGCGGTGACTTGTGGGAAATAACTTCTAAATGTCAGAAGGGAAGAGGAGGTAAGAAAGATTCACTGGGAGCAATTCCAGTTAAAGAGATAATCGTGTAAAGGTGTATGGGAGAATTTTAATAAGGCGCAGAAATAGTGACCAAAACAAGAAGTGTTGAAGATTCTCTTCATAAAGCTGAACCTCATAGTAAAAATTTTTATAATCTAGTAAGAGACTTTGTAGTATTAAATATCATAGTAAGATGAAAAAAACCAATGTCTTGTTAAATAAAGTACTCAATTATCTGGATAATTTTTTTATAGTTCACTTTTTAGAAGAAAGATAACATGAAAGCAGTCTGCTAGCAGAGATTTATTTAAAGAGAAGACTTTAAATTCTGTGTTGTCAGCCCATATCTTATTGCAATAGTGTATTTTCTATTTGCATAGTTGCACAATAGTACTCACATAGACAAGGGTTTCTCATCAGTGGCACCCGTGACATCCTGGGCCGAGTGTTCTGTATTGTGGGCGCGCTGTTCTTGTCTGATGCACTGTAAGGTATTTAGCAACATCCCTGGCCTCTACCTGCAGATGTCAGTATCTCCTGCCTTCCACACTTGTTGTAACAACTGAAATGTCTCTGGAGATTAACATGTCCTCTGGGGGGCAAAATCATTCCAATTGAGAACCATACCAAGAGCAGGGGCTCTGTGACCGCCTGGGCTTTCATGCCCGGTTCTGCAATCACCAGCTATGGAACACTGGATAATTGTTGTGACCTCCCTGTGATCCAGTATCTGTAAAACAGGTATAAATACTAGTACCTACCTTTCATAGTTATGGTGGGGATTAAATGAGTTAATATATAAAAAGGCTTTTACTTATCATTCTGTAGTTATTGGATCCCGAGTAACGGTGAGTGGGGGCTCATTCCTGATGTCACACTGCTTGGCATTTCCCATAAGCACCACTATGTAGGGCCCTGTGACTAAAGACTAATTCCTGATCCCTTTAGCACCCCCATTTTCTCATTCATAAAATGGAGATAGTAGCACTTATCTATACCTCACTGTGATGTTGGGTGATGTTATATAGTGTAATGGGCAAATACTGCAGGACTTCACAAAATGCAGTTTTCAAGGAAATACTGCTTAGTGAAAGACATTTGGAGGCCATTACTAAGGGCTAGGTATTGAGCTCTGCTTGGATATGCTTTGTTTGACTTGCTTCATTTGTTATGCCTTTGTATGTGGCCCCTCAAGTGCCTGAATCTGTAGCTCCTGCCAAATGCAGTATCATTGTGATCATGATATCCCAGTTGCTGAAGGGTGGGGATTGACGAATAATTTTTGTAAATTTTTCAATGAAAGTGATTATAAAAAGTTTTCTGCTTAAATAGGATTGAACTGAAACATGTCATTTAATGGGAACATTCTATATAAGTATTTTCATCATGTTTGGTTTTTATTGTGTCACTTTTGCAAACCATTATTTTTTTCAGAGTTCATTTCCAGAGCAGTATAAAAGCAGTGCCAGGCTACTCTAAGCCTAGCCCCGGTGTTTCTGAAACCTTTGCTTTCAACTTAAAACAAAAAATAAATTAAATATTGTTTGCAGAGATCATTCCCTGGCTATTTTTCTTTGAGCATGAGAAACCTTTGAATTTGGTCTATTCTGAAGTTATTATTGAAGTCATTACTGTTTTTATGGCATTTACAATTTAAAACAGTTGAGAGAGCAATAAGCTGAAATCAGGCATTTTGTTAGTTTTTAAAGTTGTAACAATATTTTTAACAACTCAACTGCATCTGGACTTAAAACATGATTTAAAACTTTCTAGGTGCATTCTGCCTAGGTGACATTTCCTTTACTTTCCTGATTGTACATGTTAATAAAACTCAAAAGTGCTTAGTGAAAGACTTTTCTCTAAACTGGTCTTATCTCTTTAATTAATTTTAGAAGTTATGGTTTTATGTAGTGTTAAGTGGAGAAAAAAGTAAGAAATAAGGTGAAAAGTATTATTACATGCTTTAGGTGAGCCATATTAGAATTACTGTTATTATTATTCTCATAACTACAAATCAGTGATTTCCATGAAACTAAATAAAT